TAATTAATTAAATAAACATTAACAAAATAAAATTAATTAATTATAAATTAATTTTGATTAAATTTAAATTATATTTAATTAATAAATTAATCTAACAATTAACGAAATTCAACAAATTAATAAAAATTGACAATTTAACAAATAAAGCAACAAACTAATAATTAAATATATACACAATTATAAATTAAATAAATATACTTAAAATTAATCTAAAAATTACTAATTACTAATATTAATTAAGAAAATAAAAGAGATAAAAAAAACTTAACTAATTCGGGTGAAATTGGTTAAAATATATGAAGAAAAAAGTTGGGTTTTTTAAAAAGAAAGAGTTTGAAGAGGTTGTGGATTGATGAGGAGTGGGTTAGGGGAGTTTTGTAGAGGATTTGAAGGGTTGGGGGAGGGGTGACAGTTTGAGGAGGAAGAGAAATAGGGAAAATGAGTGAGGTGGGGTTACGACTTGGGTTTTAAAGAATCAAAGATCAATTATCGAACATTCTCATCACTAATCCATTGTTATTTAATGTCCATCGTTAAATAGCTACGCTTGGCGCAACATTTAAATTTTCAAAGGTTGTCCAAAAATTTAACGTTTAGTGATAAAAATTGATTCATCATTACTATTTAATCGCAAATGGATCGCTAGTCCGTCATTAAATGTAACGCAAGCTAATCTAATGTTATTTAGCAATGGTTTGAAGTCCGTCACTATTTAACGAATTTCCTATAGTGATTAATCAAGATGGTTCAAAAAATAAATTAATGTTTCCAATCAAACGAACAACATATTCTAAATAACTAGTGCCATTATTCTATAAATAATAATAATAATAATTAGTGTCATCAAACAAACCATAATTAATTATTAATAAGCACAATATTGGACTTATGCACCAAAAATGAATTAATAGCTAATCATTTCTCGCCACTTAAAAATATATGAATACGTTATTAAAGAGCAGTTAGGTTGGTTCTAATAATCTTCATACTTGTAGCCAGTATTTTAAAGAAAAAGGATAAAGGAATAATTCTATAGCTAGATTAAGCATGGCAAATTTGAAAGAGAAATTAATTGAGTCTCTTCAAATCCAAACTGTTAGGAGAGAAATACTATTTACAAGGCAACGAAGGTTACAGGGTGTGATTGGCGGAGGAGGAGGGTGGTTAATTTGGTGTTGTTTGACCGCATAATCCAGGGTGTCAAGAGAGAGTAAAGACGCGTGGGTGCCGCTGACACAAACTGCACGAGCGCCGGAGATATTGCTGCCACTCTCATGCTTCTTGTGCGCTTAACTCATTAATGAATGAATCAAACAAACAAATGCTACTACTGATACCAATACCTACCTCCTACCTTGCAAACTCGCTCTCGCAAGACCCGCTCTACGCAAACCCATCATATACTTGTACATCTTTATCAATTAAAAGATGCTCTTTGTCGGCTTCCCTCTCTCTATCTCTATACCTTATGAATGGTGGCCCCCCTTGTCCCTGCCTCTTCTTTTGTCTGCTAATTACTTCATTCTTACGATCCTTAATGTTTATGTTTTGTTAGCATATGAAATTGGACGAAATGATGGATGAAAAACCATCACAAAGCATCATAAAAATGAAAACAATTAGATAACAAAATAGGCAACACAGAAAACTATAAACAAAATCTTAATTGTTATATTGAAGGATGAATTGACTGACTGTTACTCTACATTGTAAAATATAAAAAAAACTCTAATTTTATGTACCTTTAGAAAAATTGAGAAAATTGTCATCAAAAAAATAAATAAAATAAAAATAAAAGTTGATTAAATTTAAAGATTGGACAAATACTGTCACTAGAGTGATAAAATGGCTTGAGAAGGTCTCAAAATGGTGCATGCATGGGTTTTAATTTGAATTGATAGACTAATATAGGGTAAGTATGTATCAAGTTAAAGATTTATATGATAATTTCTTAATAAATAATGAATAGAATATTCTTTTAATGGATATAGTAAAAAATTGAATTAATGAAAAATTATTATCCGAAGGCCCTAAGAGTCTTAAGCATGATTTTGATCAAATTGGAGCAAAAAATGGCAAAATGAAAAATGAGACTTTTAGGGATGGTTCCAGTGAGCAACAATTATTGGAGAAGAAGTAGGTAATGATGCTTAATTTGTACGCCTACCTTTTGTTTCTTTTGTTATTATTATTATTATTATCTTTTATTATTATTAATTTTTTCATTTGCTCGGGATGTCATTTCTATCCATTATCTATTAAAAAAGTATCATATAAATCTTTAAATCCATTCATACTTAATTTATATTGTTAAGTTATAAATTAAAAATGTATCATATAAATTTAAAATCATTGTATTCTTAAAAATTACATGTTACTAAGGAACTAAAAACATGAAAGATCCATCATGAACTCTTTGTCATTGTGTTGATTCTTAGTTTGATATGACGTGTTCAAAGAGATAGCTAGGTTTTTCAATCAAATACATGATCAAGATGAAATTAAATTTTTACAATTAAATACAGAAAGTACAAAGATGAATTTGAATTAAAAAAAATTTAAAAAAAAAATTTGAAGTTTTGGAGGTGGCCCATATGTGGCGGCAATGAAATAACCCTAGCTAAAATATAATTAATATCTAAAAAAATTAATCTAAAAGCCCAATCAACAATTAAGTAGTTCCATGTATGCATCCTACATATATAGATTTTTTCTTTCGAGTAATGAAATTGATAAACGTGTATAATTAATTTCATTCATAATATGTATGAAACCATTTCTCATACAAAAATTTAATAAAAATAGCTGTTTGATATCTTTTATATGACAATTTGATATTAATTAATTAATTTGGAATGATACAATCAATGGTATGTAATTATATAAATAACGTTGTAGGATCAGATTATGTATAGTGTGCATAATGATATTAATTAATAGCGTTGGTTTGCTCTTCCAAATGGGACACAAAGTATTAGTAATCAATGGTGGAAGATGCATGGACCTAGCTAATAATTATATATGTCCATCAGTTCATGTCGAGGAGGAAGAGAACCAGTAAAATTTAAGTTGGAGAGAAAGATTCCATAGAATAGACCCGAAAGGAGCGGGGGATGAGACACGTGTCATGCTTAGAGAGCATACTAAGTTAATAACATTAACTGTGCTGAGCAAGAGAAAAAAAGGGATGGATGGGATCATTTGCAGGACATATATGTCATGGTGGATGCTTGTGGGTCATTGAAAATCGAAGCACATCTCTCCCTCTCCCTCTCAAGTTATGAACATGACCATATATATATAGTCCAATTTAATTGTGCCACCTATCATTTCGTTCATATTACCATGAAACGGACAGGTAGAGACTTTTATTAGTTTATACCTCCCATTTTTTATTTTTTTGTAGGTACGCCGCCCAGGGTATTTTCCCCAGCTGATTTCCATTCTCATTAAATCATTCTCTTAAATAAATGATCTTCTATATGTAATTTCACTCATTTACGGTTTTTTTTTTTTTTAATCTTCTTTACATTTGAATTCGAGATAATAATGTTAGAGCCAAACCCACTTTACCACTCTGGTCAACATCAAGAATTCATTAATCGTTTTATATTTATAGTATCATTTAAAAGCAAGCAATAATTAATGATCTTGTAAAAGGCCTGTGTTTTTATTTTTTTTAACCAATTTTTGCCCATTAAAACTAATTTGACCGTGTCTCATAAGAAATCATTTTTTTTTATTATTATAGAAAAAAATTCGAATTCAACACCTCTAAAAACGAAGGGAAACATTAATGTCAATTAATCTATATATATTTCTTACTGAGTAAACGAATTATTTATTAAACCAAAAGGGATAATGTGTGTTTTAAAACTAAAAGATTTTTTTTTTTTTAATCTAAAAGAGTTCATTTGAGCAGAAAAAATTATAATAATTTAAACAAGTGATTTTTGTTTCAAATATTTATATACATATAAAAATTTTTAAGTATTTATATCCATCTTATACACCCGATCGAATAATAATTAATTAGTTTAGACTTTGAAATTTAAAATGTTTGAGAATTAAAAAAAAAATGATGTTTTTAATTAGGAGTAGTTGATATAATTATATCAAGCAAATTAAGCAACTAATTAAAACCATATATATAGTTTGAAACATGAGTCCATAATAATGAAGCTAGGTAGCCCAGATTTAGAAGAAGAAGAAGATAAAAAGGGTAGAAGGTAGCTAGATGGACCTTGGAGATAAGGACCAAGGATTAGGTCGAGTTAAGAATAAATTACTTTGTAATTAATATCAACGGCTTAATGTTGTATGTATAAATCAGAAAAAGGAGAGAGAGAGAGAGAACGTGGAGTGCTGGAGGGGAGAACAGAGAGAAAGGTCGGGACCCATCCACCGCCCATACGCAAGCAGTCTTACCAAAACCAAACCCATCAGGCTGTGATCTATTCCTCAATCTAACCCTAACCCAAATCCAAAAATATACTAAACCTTCTCTCTAGCTACTAAAAACAATACTTAACATCTCTCCTAAACTCTTACTCTTACCAACATAACCTTAGCTAGAACACCTCTACACAAACACTAAAGCTTGTTGAAAGATCAAAAGATGGAGAATTCAGCTCATAATTTGGTGGCTTACACCAAAAATCCACTCATCTTTCTCCTTTCTGCACCAGCTGGTGAGTGCTAGCTAATAGCATCTAGTTCTTCTTGGTTACTTCATTAAACTATCAAAAAAAGCAAGAAAGCAAGAAAAAGAGGAACCCCCGGCCCCCAATAGTCTTCCATCTTCTTGTTTTATTATTATTATTTTATTTCCTTTCTTCTTCCACTAGCGGCCCTCTTTCTTTTTGAATCTTTAGTATAACTAGGTAGTGTTTCCATTTTCTCGGTTTAATTTTCTAGCTAGCCACTTATGTTTTTTTTGTAAGTGAAAAACTTCTTAGTAGTTCTAAAAGAGAGTCATAAAGTTAAAAAGAAAGGCCCATATGGATCCAGTAACGGCTCATGGCCATTCCCTTCCACCTCCTTTCCACACAAGAGATTTCCAATTACACCACCAGCAGCAACAACAGCACCAATTTCACCACCAACAGCAGCAGAATTCAGAAGATGAGCAAAGTGGTAGTAGCAGTGGGCTAAACAAGTCAATGAAACGAGAGCGAGACGAAAGTAACAATAATATGGGCAACAGTGAAGGGAAAGAGCTCATGACTTCAGGCTCAGGAGAAGGAGAGATCAGTAGAAGACCACGAGGCAGACCTGCTGGATCCAAGAACAAACCAAAGCCCCCAATTATCATCACAAGGGATAGCGCAAACGCACTACGCACCCACTTGATGGAGGTTGCTGATGGATGTGATATTGTTGAGAGTGTTGCTACATTTGCTAGGAGAAGACAAAGAGGGGTTTGCATTATGAGTGGAACTGGGACAGTAACAAATGTAACCCTTAGGCAACCAGCTTCGCCAGGTGCAATTGTAACTTTACATGGTAGATTTGAGATATTATCACTAGCTGGATCATTTCTGCCACCACCAGCTCCACCTGCAGCTACTGGCTTAACCATATATTTAGCTGGGGGACAAGGGCAAGTTGTGGGTGGGAGTGTTGTTGGTACACTTACCGCTTCAGGTCCTGTTGTGATTATGGCAGCCTCATTTAGCAATGCTGCTTATGAGAGGCTCCCTCTAGAAGAGGAGGATCCACAGATGCCTATGCAAGCGGGTGCAATGGGGTCACCAGGAGCAGTGGGGCAGCAGCAACAACAGCCACAGCAGCAGCAGGTTATGGCGGAGCAAAACTCGCAACTATTTCATGGATTGCCTCCTAATCTTCTGAATTCCATTCAGTTACCAGCTGATGCATATTGGGCTACCGGTCGCCCACCATACTAACAAAAGATTGATCCAACGCCATGTCAATTAGTTCAGTTTCCCATGATCACTTGCAGCTTACCAAAGAGGTGACAGACTTTGTAGCTAGGGAATTTGGGTTGTTAAGCATTTTCAGGTTTTGTTATTTCTCCTTTTCTTTTAGTTGTTGTTAATTTGCATTTGATGATTAGCTTAATTAAATGCCTGATTGATGATTGAAGGACTGTAAATTTTAAGGCTCTTTATTGCTTGAGTATGATTTCATGTTAATAAGCGATGCAAACTTGTTCCATTTTGAAGATGATGATGATGATGAAAAAGGAGAAAAACTGCCACAACAATATGGGAGTGGCCATTTTTAATTTCTCATTTTTTTTTCATCATCATTATTAGCATTATTATTATTACTACCATTTTGATGGGGAGAGAGGATTGGCACTATTTCTGAACTCTCTTATAGTAGTGTTCCTACGAGGTTTGATCATTGTGCCTTCATTTGGGAGCAAAAAAACCCTTAGTTACTTCTTGTTTAGAAAAAGCCTAGCAACACAGGCTACTCTCCTCTCTTAAATCAAGAAAACACGGTTTTCCTGTATATGTGTATTTATTATATTCTTTTCCTTTTAGATCCACACTAGGCACAGTTTTAATTTTTTTATCATTTCCTCCTCAAAGCTAAAATGTATTATTATCTTCTTCTTTTTTCCTCCTATATAAGAAACTCATTATATATATCCTTAATTCTTCCTCTCCACTGAGCTCCTAACCAGTAGAAGGGACTTGACTTGAATGTGTCTAGAGCAATAAAAATAATGCGAGCACTATATGGTTTTTTTTTTTTTTTTTTTTTTGCCAAGCTGATAAGGTCAAAGGAGGTTCAATTAAAAGCTGGCTAGTGACGGTTTCAAGGAGAAGGCAAGAAGGTGTTAAACTATTTACGAGAAGAGCAAAGAGGTATGGGCTTAGAGTTTCCATGTCTTTTCTTTGGAGAGTTACTAGGGTTTTAGATATAGAGGGACATGAAAATATATAAGGGTGCTGGTTTACACGTGCACTGCTCTGAACTAGCTCCTTTTCGAGGCAAACCATAACACTTCCATAAAAAGGCATTGCATTCTCTCTCTTGTGGATTCAAAGAATAAGGGATTGGGCAGCTGTACTTTGAAAGATCTTGAGAAAGAAAACATGCTCAGATTCTCTGCACTGAATTAAAACTCCCATGTTACATTCATTACTTTGCTTTTCTTTGATGTAAAAGCAATATTTGAAGCTAATAGAGGCTTATCTACATTCATCTTTGGAGACAGTACTCCTAGCTACATTCAACTTTTGCATGCCTTGCTGTTTCATTCTCCTTTATCTTCCCTTTAGTTGGTCAACTGAATTTGCAAAATAAAGATTGGGTTCTTGAACCTGATCGAAGCTAGCCAACTATTTTCTTCTTCTAGTAAAGTCCGTAGTAATTAAGTTCACTTTTATTTTGTAGCTTTGAAACCAACCCATTCTACGTTAGGAGCTTAAACTTTGCTATTTTTGGGTGGTGATAGTATGTAGTAGATAGAATGTACATAGATCTCTTCTTCTTCCGTTCCTTTTTACAATCGAGTCAGTATTAACGCTTTGAGAATAAATTCCTTCTTAGTCTCGAATCTTATAGAGACAAATGATTCACATTTCTTCTATTGAAATTGACCTATATCTTATTTCACCTCAAGTTTCTGGAATATTGCTAAGAAAGCGTTGGGAGGAAATTTATGTTTCCTACAAAGCTTACCTTGCATGCAATAGATCGACCTTGCGAGAATCTGAATTTGCACGCAAATTTAAGGTTTGGTACTGCCATGTTTCATGCTAGTGTTGGCAACTCGAGTAGCAATACATCACAAATATATATTAGATAGACATGAATCTGTTGGTGCCTCTGGGATCATATGGAGTGAGTGAGTGGGAAATATATAGATCGAGTGCTATTTACAAATCTTTTAAAAAAAATTCCTTCAGCTAGCAGGTAATATATTATGATAAATAATTTTAAATTTCTTTCTATTTTTTTACTGTGAAAATTTTATGTTTCATAACACACAAGATTTTAATGGCCTTTTTTCTGAAGACTTACCATTCAAGCATGATGCACAGTAATGTTATTTCCTATCTTATATTTCAACAATAGTTTTATAACCTAGTTCGTACAAACAGTATATAAAATATTTTTTCCATATCCAAGGTATGGATGAAATAGACAAGTAGGTGATTTTTATTACCTACTTTGTACATTCTTAATATATACTTGATTTTTATTTTTATCATCAATTTTGTTGATTTTCATATATATATACACTCATAGCCATATATACCTTTCAAGCAAGGAATACATATTAATTAGGGCCATTTTTTCCTTAACAATGCCTTTGTGTTTGATGGATCTCCATTGAGTTATTAAATAAATACTAATAACTCAGTAGATTTAATAGTTTGAGTTGGTTCAATAATAACTTTTAAGTGGTTGGTTTGTTTTTAAAAAGATTTGGTATTTGTCCAAGAGAGTTAGTTTGAACGAAAATTATCCTAATTATTTAAGTGGTCTCGTGATGTAGTGGAAACTTACAAAAAGAAAATAAACACCGTTGATCTAAAAATTCTCACACAAAATTCGGATGTCGATCCGCTACAACCTGTTAAATTGCATACAAATATCGGAAAATAGGTTTCAAATTCCATTGATTCAAAGAATGTTGGAAATTGAGATAAAATTGAGATGCTCTCTCATAAAATTTTATTAATCAAAGAAAGCTACATTTTTTTTCCTCCAAATCATACATAAATAGAAAATTCAGCCCAAAACCCTAAATCAATTCGCAAGGGAAATAAATACAAAAATCCAAAAAATAAGAAAAAATCCTCAAAAAACAAGTAAAAGTCAATTTTGAGGGCCTAATCGATCTTTTTTTACCAAAATCACCTTTATGTCATAGCAAAGCGACGAGTTTGACTTGTTGGACATTTGGCATTGAACTAGACCCAAGAAGCCTCAAAATTGATCCAATAGTTTTTTTCAACTTTTGTCACACTCATACCGCTCCATAAATTTCGTGGCTCGTTGATCCATATCATCTTGGGTTCGAACCATTTTGTACGTAAAATTTTTTTAAATAATTATGTCCACTTGGATTAGCTCGAGTTTTGGGGTTTGGAATACCTTAGGAATCCAAAAACAAAATTTTGGTCTCTCGTCCAAGACAGGATCGGCTTTATAACATATGTGGTCCTAGGCAAAATAATATTTTAAAGACTCTTTTAAAAAGTAAATAAATATTAAACATTATTTAAATTTTTTTTCTTGCTTTACGAAATACAAAATCTCTAATTAAATTTTTGTATTCAAGTTTACAAAGCAAATCTTTTTCAATTGATAATATAGCCAAATTACTTAATCTTTCTTGTAACATAGTTAAACGTAAATAAGATTTTATTAATTTTAATTTTAAAAAATTCTTTCAGCCAAAGCTACAAGTAATAATGATAGTTAATAATATTCTATATGCTAACCATGCATTTGGAAAAGAATTTACCTTTTTTATAAAATTTAGTATGGCAAGTGGTGTTTTCATTTTCAAAGTTATAATTTCTTTTAAAAATTTTAATTTTGAAAATAAATCTAAACCATCAATATCGAAAGCATATCGTGCTTTAAAAATTTTTCAAGATTTAAATAATTTTTTTTAAAAAATATCATCATCAAGTGATTTTAATTTTTCTACACTATAAAGAAAACCAAAATTATCTTCATATATTTTAAATTGTTCAAACCTATTTTGAAGAGAGGAAATCACATGATCAACTAATTATGTAAAATAATTAATTCTAAAAGATTCTTCAACGAGATAATTTAATGTCTTCATTTTCGACTCATCAAATTATTTCTTTCTTCTTGTTGTACGTTTTTCACAAAATTTTGGTTCTATATTCATTTGCTCCGTAGTTTCCTTAGCCAAGATCATAGAAGATGTAAACTAATTTTTTCCGTAGCTTTTAAAAAAAGAAATAAGACCTTTCAAGTGGTCTATTGCAAGAGCAATATCCATATCTTTAGATTGTAAATATTTACTAACCGTATTAACAACGAAACAACATATCATATCAAATAATCATGCCTAGTAGAACTTCAAAATTTTCAATCTCATATGTTGCTAAAGAAATGGCTTCACTTTTTATTTTAGGATCCTCACTAGTTTCCGCTAATTGATATAAAGCATCTCTTATTTGTTGAGCTTGAAATCTAATTGCTTTAACCCTTTCAATACGACTTTCCCAACGTGTTTGTGATAATGGCTTAAGTGTCAAATTAGAAACATGATCTTGCAAAATTTTTCATCTTTTTGTAAAAAAAGAAAATAATGAATATATGCGTTGTGCCACTCCAAAAAAATGTCATAGCACTAGCACATGAATTAGCCTTATCATAAAGAACTAAATTAAGATTGTGACGACCATATGGTATATAAAATGCTCTAGAATTTATATCTAATAATTTTTTTGTACATCTTGATGTTTACCTTTCATATTAGACCCATCATCATATCCTTGCCCTCTCACATCATCTACGTCAAGTTCAAGAGTTTTTATCTTACTTGTAAGTTCACTAAAAAGACCTTCACCAGAGGTATCATCCACTTTTAAAAAATATATAAAATACTCTTCTATTTTTATTGAAATTGTCAAAATATCTACACATCTTAATATAAGAGACATCTGTTTTTTATGACTTGTATCTAGAGTACAATCAAGTATAACTGAAAAATATTTTAATTCTTTGATTTTTCCGATAATGGTATTTCTTATTTCTAATGCTAAAATATTTATCAACTTATTTTGTATATTATGACCAAGATAATGCATACGAATATCTCCATTTTGAATACGTCTAAGGTATTCTTGCATTATTGGATCAAACTCGGCAATCATTTCAATTAAATTCAAAAAATTTCCATTATTGTCCCGATAAATCTTCTCATTTGTACCAC